GGGAAAGAAAGAAAGAGAAAGAAAGAGAAAGAAAGAAATGTATACATTCACCACCCATGGCTCCAGTACCAGGACTCAGGGTAGCAATTTCATTGGCCAAAGTGATGGTCACTGTCTGGTTAAGTGATGGTCACTGTCTTAATCCATCAGGGTGGGGGAACCCCATGAAGCGCAAATTCCAGTGGGTTAATGCATGCTCAGGTTCAGGTGGGAATGACCATGTGAAGGGAATCCCCCTAGTGAGGGGACCTGTCAGTTCTCTGGTGGAAGTCCTGAAGGATGAATCTGGGGGCACTTTGGGGGTTTTTGGTGGCTGAGGACTCCTTCCATGACATGCAAGCGACCTCTGAAGGTGATGTTGTTAAGCCAACTATGCCCCCTCAGAAGGATGAATGTTCACAGGCCAGCCTGTGATTGTGAGTATCTCCTGTGAATGTGGCTGGCCTGCCATGGAGGCAGGGTAGGAGTTTTACAACTGGGCCTGAGCTTGTGTGAGGGAAGGCAGCTGGCATGATAAAAGGCACCATCCCTTCTCTGCAGGGTCTGCCTCTTTTCTGGCTTGGAACCTCCTCTCTCTCTTGTCCGGACCAGAGACTTGCCTCTACATGCCCAGAATGTCACCACCTCCTCCTCAGGGGCTGCAGACCTGGCCTCAGCAAAGCACCCTGCCAGTCCACAAATAGGCAAGGCTTTTGTGCCATTAACCATTAACTTTTCATTCTCTCACAGCCCATTTCCATCAGACAGCTTTGCAGCGCCTCTTCCTTGAACAGAAAAACAATCAGAAAAGCAATCACAATTTAACACCACCATCACCACCACCACCAAACCCTGACCAAAACATAATAATTGAGATTTTTCATCTGGTCCTTGTGCCTTTTCTCCTTCTTTATTGACTATTTAGAAAAAAGCAGCAAGAAAATATGGTAAACATAAATGTAGAAAAAACGGAGGAATTAAAAACTGTGGTAAATTTCTGGCTTCAATAGGGTTATCCAGGAAAAACATGAAGAAAGCATTATAAAATAGTTCTGAAGAACTTTATGCAATTTTCTTGAAGTAGTGTTTCTCTGAAAACAGTTTAGGCAGTACTTACTTCACAGAACAGTTTCTGACTTTACACAACATCTGCTCACTTTGGCAATGCGTTTTCCATTGTCAGCCTTTCAAAACCAGCAGCACTGGCTTCCCTTTTATGCCTGATCTGGTGTTTTTAGGTCATGAGGTACAATTAAACATTGAAGTGTATTGCTTTGTGAATTAAGTGTATTTCAGTCTGGCAAAGCATGATCAGATAGACACAGCAGCGCACCTTGCTGTGTTTCTGAGAGGGGTGAGGTATTTCACAGACCTTTCTTCTGCACTTTCCTAAGGAGCAGAAGTTGATCTACACGTAGGGTTGGGAAAGCATTCATGTGATGCCAAAACTTACCGTAAATTCCTATCCAGCAGCTTGAATACTGCTTACAGAGTTGAAATGTCCTTTACACTAACACCACAGTTCTTTCTATAAGTAGCTTTCTCTTAAGCTACTGTTGACTTAACCCATTCCTGCTCTTTCTGCAGCCCACTTTGGGCAGTCATTTCGGTGAACCTGACCAAATACTGCATACAGCTGGAAGAATTCACCCCAAACACCAGGGGGAGAACTGTGTGTGGTGGGTTATTTTTCAGCAGGATATACTGAAAAGAGTTATACAGATGTTTCTGAGGGACAAAGTGGCAGGGACTTCTGACAAATCAAACTCCATAAAAACTGGCAGTGAAAATTGGCCTCTAATCTGTATAAAACGCCTTCCACATCAAAGCGCTCTTTCCTAAGGGAAAAGTAGCAGTCTTAGTGGAAAAAAAAAAAAATCCCATTTACACAGGTCAAATAGCATTTATAAGTCCCCAGAGGAAGATAGGTTGTCACCTCTGGAAGCATTGGAGTGTTTGGCCGAGCGGCACGTCCCTGTGTTCCTGCTGCCCCCGGCCCGGCAGCGCGCACGCCAGGGCCCCTGGGCTTCACAGCATGGCCCAGAAGGGAATTCATCCTTCTGTGGGCTTCAAAAACAGGAAGTGACATTTCAAGTAATTGCAGATTTAATGTGAGCCCGTGGCTGGTCCCTCTGCATTGTCCCTGCTTTCCTGTTTGAGCTTGGAGGAAGTGGCCAGAAGGATAGGGGGAAGGGAAACCTTCCTATGATGCTTCTGCAACTGCAGCCTGCAGTACTTAGGGGAAGAGTGACAAAAACATATTCAAACCCTCGCCAAAGGCTTGCAAGAAATATTTGACATCTAACCTTTTACAACAAGTGGGAGTTAAAGGTTAAATCACACACAACCCAAGTGTTTAGGAAAAGGATATGTTTATGTCATCAGCTTCTGTGGGGTTGTAAAGGAACAGGGGAATGGGCTCTGGATATCAGGAAAATACATGGTGTCTACTATTTATGAACATATAAAAGGCCAATTGGCTCTACCCATTTATGTTTTCACATTCAAATGCCCATTTCAACTCAAATAGCTGAAGTGGAGAGAGTGCAGGGTGGACACCACTGCCTACTTGCTTTGCCTCTGTGCATCTAGACACAAACTATTCCCCAAATATTCTAATTTCCCAGGTAGTATAACTTCTTTTGTTGAACTGCCATGAAAGAATCTGACAATCTGCTTTGCCCATTGCTTGCATGTAATTTATGGAGCTGAAAATCCAGACTAAGCATGTGTTTTCTAAAATAATATATTGGTATTCTCTAAGCTCAGTGATGGAAACACCATTTTTGTTGTGAAGTGCCAAAAAGACTCCATAGGCAATTTCAGTCTATATAATGCTAGTTCTTCAGTGGTTGTATTTCTGGAAAAGTGATTCTGCTGGCCTTTGCTTCTTCAGTCAGCTGAAAAAGCAGCTGAATTCAGGAGGAACTGCTCCATTAACTCAAAAAATATTTTTTCCCACTTAAATTCTAGTTTGGTTGGAATTTACCCAACAAAGACTGATGATCCTCAGGAAAGAAAATCAGTCATCCTCTCCTGAGATAATGAATATAATTTGTATGTTGCAGCTTTCTCTTGGTACAGATTGCCCAGCCATTGGCAGGGATCTGTCTCACCCAAATTTGACAGTTCAGAACTAGTTGCTTCCTCTACCTATACTGGAGATGCATGGGACTTGCATCTGGTCCCAGTTGGAAGAAAATCCAGCTCATATACCTTTTTAGATGGATAGATCACTGATTATAAAGGGAAACTGTACAAATGTCTCATACTGAATTTCTAATGTGAGATGGCTATTAGGTAAGCAGAATCCTGCTGTGAAAACGAAATGTTCTATATTTTGCAGAAATAAAATTAAAAATAACTTTGGGAGATGAATTAAAGGTTAGTATTAATCCTCTATGAATGTGCCTCATTCATTAAGAAAAAATGCAATACTGCATAATCATTCCGAGCACTTGGTATTATGTGCCAACAAGTTGTAGCATGAATATAAACATTGTGCTGGCAGGGCAAGAGTGACTTTTGGAAATTTTCCTTTCAGAACAAGCAAAGCTGCCAATATCACCCACAGAAAAAAAATACAAAGTAGAGCAATATATCAAATAAGTGTTCCAGCTTGGACTTTCTTATTCATATTCTGTCAGGCTAGAGGTTACTGATGTTTAATTTAGTAAACAGCACACCCTGAGATGCAGACATTCTGCCAGTAGTCCTCATTTATAAAATGGAACAGTCTGGAAGTTATTCTAGGATGTTAGATTATTTTATTTTTAGATAAGTCCTTCCTCATTGGTGGTGTTTTGTTCCTTAGATCACTGTTAAAAATATTTCCTCTTGATGATTCTGTTTTTCCTACAGTTAAGCAATTGTGATTTGCGTCTCAAAGGTCAGAGGCAAAGACAGAGCTTAAAGACCAGATCCAGAGGCTGGAAAGAAGGAATGAAAATGGTCCTCACTGACCATCTTCTACACACCATTCTTTCCCTATATTAATGCCTTTCCCCTGTGCCCACTGGGTCAGCTCCTCAGTGACGTGTTTAAGTGCATGAGTGTCAATGTCACCATGGTGTCAGTTGTCATCCTGCAGTGTTAACAACCAAGTCTTCCACAGAATGGGGGAATTGGAGTTTTTCAGACTTATTTCCATTTTCTTCTCTCATACATCTTCTGAATTTCATCTGTGCTACTTCAGCCTACTATTTTGCTGTGCCTTCAGTAGGGAAGAAAATTTAGGATGCTTGTCTAACAAATAAGATATCAAAACTTTCCTCCAAGCTGGAAAAGGAGTTGTGAATCTGTTCTACACCCTGTGTGCTACTTTAGCCACTGGATTTATCCAGGGTGGAAGAGAGGGAATTGGCAGAAAATAATGAAATAAAATGTTTTAGCAATTATGCAAAAACCAAAATTGAAACCAGCAAACTAATGTACCTGTTGTCAGACCCACTAGTTACATAGAAAAGATCTCCACCTTTTTCATTGTATCGCAAACTGACCCCTCAACATCCCTTATTCCAGGTGTTAGTGTTGTAGTTGTGGGGTTTTTTCCTTTCCTCTCTTCATTAATCCCTTGCAGCCACTCAGAGGAAATGGGAGCAAGGTGAGATTGTGTGGCAAAGGACACTGCTCACTGCAGATTTGAACTATTCCTGTGTGGACCATCTCAATTCACAGCTTACTCTGAGTTTCGTTTGCTCTGAGAGGACTTGATAAATATTTTATGTTCCCAAGAAAGGAACAGTTAATAATCAAATAAATGAGTTTTAAATACCAAATAAATAATTAATAATAAAATATTTTTTCTTTTGTTTTAGATAAGAATTTGTCCCAGTTTAGGAGTATAAGCATGAATTGAATTTCATTTTTCAGAGGGTTCAATGCTCTGAGATAATGAGGTCCTCCCAGGCCGTTGCCTTCTCTTTGCTGAGTTCCAGAAATAATCATCATGGCTCTTTGGTCCAGGAAAATGTGTGCCAGAGACTTCCTATAAATGAACTCCCGTCCACCAGCCATGGGTATGCTGAACATGTTGGTTTATTTTCAGTGGAAATATTAATTTTGTTCACTAAATTTCATAGGAAACATACTGTCATGATTTTACTTTGTTTTTCAAAAAGATGTTCTGTACTATTAATCAGTGGATGACAACACCACATTGTCTTCACTTTTAATTTTATAATATGTAGTTAAATGAAGATTCAGTATAATCTAAAATACATTCGGAGGAAATTTTGTGAAATACCTTCCATATTTTTTCCCAATTCTTTTACAGACTGCTACTATTTAAGAACAGTTCTTCAGGTTTTTGTAATGCTGACACTTGGAACTATTTTCTTAACATTTGGAAAAGTGGAGATAATTGTCTCTGAGAGTGTTGTCACAGCCAGCAGCACAAATGTTGCTCCTTAAAACAATATATTTCAGCTGAAATTTGGGGAAAAATAATTACTATATTATTAATAATTTGCTTTCCTTAGAAGAAATTTGACATACAAAATGCTTGGTACTTTTCCTTAATCTTGTGGTCTGACCCTGCAGCCACACCTTATCATTGTAGTACAAGTTTATAGTGTCTTATAAGGGCAATTCAAGCTCTCAGATGCGATGGGATACAGAAATCAACTGCTCTGTCCCTTGAACTGTGACCTTAAACAACCAGGCCTTTTCCTTCCCCATGGGAATCATGTGATTGCACTCTCAGCGGATAATTTTTATGGATTCTTCTATGGTATTTCCTACAGAGGAAAACCATCCTGTTATCTCTCTTTAAAAGATTACTAATGAATATTTTCATGTTCAACTTTTTTTTATTTAATATATGTCTTCTTCCCTTTCAGCTTACCTAAAACCATATGCTTTAGAAGAAGCAAGAAGGGATCACAGATGTATTTTTTCCCCACAGGACAAAAGATAAACTGCAATAAATATGATAACAAGCTATTAATCAAGAAACTTCACTGTAATATAGAATGAAAAGTAGTTCAACAGAAAATTTGTGACTTTCTACCAAAAAAGAAATAAGTCACAGTTTTAAGTCAGCACAGAAAAGGTTCTGTAATATTAGACAATTGATTCCAACGGGATACACTTTCCAGGAAGAATTTATGTTCTTTTGTTTGTGCAATCCCTCACAAGGACACATCTAATATGCTTTCATAGACTCTTACATTTCCACAGCAACATTTTCTTCAGAATACAATTTAAGTGGGTTTTCAAAGGCTCATGAGATACAGGAAGCTCTGAGGAACAGAAGGATGATAAACTGAGCTCTGCTCTCAGTTACTCTGTCTTGTCACTAAACCAATCCAGAATTTAGGCTGCTGTACCTGACAAAAGGCTTTGCCTCACCATCACTCGCAATTGTTGTGCCATACAAGGCAGGATGCCTTATTGTTGAAAGAAAATCAGTGGCAATGTCAATTCAGATTTGGTCTGAAGAAAACACGGATGTTTTTTATACAGAGACACAGTCCATTTGTCATACATAACATGTACTTTTGAATGACATGACGTTTTTAGAAAGGAGCGTGTCTTCTCTGTATTGAAAAAAATCAACTGCATGAGTCAAATATTTCTGCAGTGAAAAACAAAGGCCTCCAATAAATAAAAATTCTGGTTTAAGCTAATTTGTTGTTCTGAGAATATGTACTCACTACTCTTTTATTGCTTGTGAAAGTGCTTATTAAATAAGCAGCTGCTGACACACATAAGCAAATACAAAGCATTAATTCCTGACTTAGCTTTCAGATTCTGAGAGTGGAAAAATCATGAAAGAAACTACTTCTCACAAGATTTTCCTTTGTGGCATCCACAGAAGACTGCTTGCTCCTGTTTTCCCCCTGTGGATTATGATTACTTCTGTTTCCAGGCATCTGACTGCAAATCCAAGGTCCTAGGGCTCCTTTACAAGTTCTAAAATGAGTGACTTCTTATTCTTCCTGTATGCCTTTGCAATTCTTTTGCTGTAGGCATTTTAATTCCATTCCAGGGAAAATGAAGACATTTTTAGCAATGGAAGTAATTTTAGCTCACCAAAACTCAGCGAAGTAATGATAGAGGTCAGGTGGGAGAATTTTATCATTATCAAAGGTAACAAGACTCACTTGGTAAACAAATGTGCTTTTTTTCATCTACTAATGGCATGTTCTGGAGAATCAGAAGATAAGCTATTGCAACTACTTCTCTTTAATTCAGGTAATATGGGGGTTTGTATTTAGAAATTAAAGTTCTGAATTTATTATAAAGATAATATTCTATCAGAGTACAAATTGATTTTTTTATACCCCAACTGTTCATTAAAATTTTCTTCCATTTCTCAAGACATGTGACAGGGAACTTTTCAAATGGTAGAGGGTTGGTAGAATTTTGTGTACTTTAAAATCTATGCGAAAAGAAAAAAATACTCTTTCTTTCTACATCAAAGGATACTTTTTTTATTTCATGAACTGCAGAGTCATAGTCTGTCAGAAAGATCTTCCTTTGATATTTACATGGAATTGAAGAATTTGCCTCCTGATTAGTTCCAGCCAAAAAATCAAAGTGGATTTTGAGTTTCCAGCAAAAATTTAGAAAGCAATAAATGGTTCAAAAGTTGTGTTTTCACAAGTCTGGAGTTCAATAAATTTTTCCATGTGCCATAAGCCTGGGCAGACTGTATCTTTCATGATGTACCGTGACCTCACATGCTCTGATCTTACTGGAAAGTTTTCTGCCCTGCCTATTTTGCAACATCTTTTGAACAAGCAAAATAAATTGAGCTTCCTCTGTCTCTTATTGTAATTCTGAATCACTACTGCAGACATCTATGTAAATTTTCAAAATTGTCAGCTTCCTTGTTAAAAGAAAGTGTTGACACTGGAAAGATGATTGCAGTCAGAGGCTGTGCAATTTCTGTATTAAATGACTTCCCTACTCCCACCTTCAGGTTTCCTGCTAATGCATCTGCGAATTGCATTCAAACAAAGTTCCCATGTGCTTTCCAGGGTTGCTGCTTTCCAGGATGCCATCTCTCACCCTGACACTGTGCCTGGCAGCTGCGTCTCTTGGTAGCTGGCATAGAATTTAGTGATGCCACTTTAACACAGATAAATTCTGTCATTTGCTGAAACAAATGTACCTTAGGAAGTCGCACAGCCGGCCTATGTAACTGATCAGTTCACATCTCATTTATACCTCCAATGAATTCTACTGATAAATGCCAGATATTGATAGGATTTTTTTATATGCTATATAATATTTTTTTTCTGATATATCAGCTACTCAAGTCTCTCATAAGCCAAGATTTTTTTGCATTCATTGTGTAATAACATTACAATATTTTTCTGATGGAACAGAAAAATATTTCTTATTTACCTGTGGTTGCTGTTAGCTTGACATTTTGGAAGTTCACAGAAATGCAATTTGCAGAGTGTATGAGACATTTTTTGAAGAACAATGATGCAATTTTCACTGGAATAGGAATAGGATTCAACTTCACTCCAAGCTCAAAGCAAATGATGCTGAATTTATACATTGATGTATAAATTAGTCTGTTGCTGTCTATCAGTAGTTATCATGCTAAATAGTTTACCAAATTAGTAACTATTGGCTAAATACTTTTTTTTTCCTGTGACAAGTTCAAGTAATTCTATCCTTTAATATTTAATTCTAGTGGCCAGGGAATTTCACTGACTTTAACTTCCTTCTTTTGGCAGTGTTTTTTAGCCAATATTATCCTTTCTAGTGCCAAAGTGTTCTCCATACCACTCAACAATTACATATGAACTAATTCCTCTTGATGTTGGTTTTTTTTTTTTATAATTACAGCCACCTTCAGAAATCATTATCAGTTTGGAGAATTTAGGAAGCCTTATTTGGCCAATTTCAAGTACTTTTTTCTTCTGGCATCCAAGGAAAAATTTGAAGGATTCCTGATCAGCATTTGTTCTGGTAATTGAACCAAATTGTATCGGTCCCAGGATTTCTACAGGACTTCCACTGATCACTCTGGGATGTAGGAGACAATTTTTCTTTCTTCATCATTTGTGAGCTGCAGAAAGAGACAAAGAATGCCATCTTCTAACTACTTACTAAATGGCTTCAACTACAGGAGTTATATTTGTCAACGCGCAGTTATTACTATAGACCTTATAGATGTTAAATATCTTCTCAAGTACTAAAAATTAATTTTTCCTCCAGGTGGCTAGTTAAGAAAGAATTTCCCTGCATACCAGATTGGCAGAAATGGCACTGTCTGTAGAATAGGTGGACAGATATTTGTGTGAAGCATGCCCAACTCACTCAAGAACTTGGTTGCTGGAAAGACCATGCAGCAGCAAAAGTAATTCCTATCTGTTCCTTGTACTTAAATATCTATTTCTGTTCAATTTTTGCCTTCAGCTTTGAGAGACTGGATCTTTTAAAGGACCCAGTATGTGTATTAATCAAAACTGTATTCTATTTCCATATGGGGAAAACATCATTGTAATTACATCTACTTGATTTACTTATATTTGCACTTGTAGAGCACCAAAACCTCCTAAATTGAAAGTCTGTAGCTGAACACATTTTCCCTCAATATTTTAACAAGGAAGGGGATTACTATTTTATTTCCTTAGGCCATTCAATAGTTGATTATATTATCTTAGCATTATCCCATTTTGTTATTGGTACTTTAATATGTGAATTAGTATACAATCAAGGTTCTGTTTTTCTGAACTCTTTGCAGCTCTAAACCATGTAATATCCCCACTGTCTTTCCTAAATAGTCTGTAACCAATGAGTTTAATATCCGCTCATGTGAGTCATACCACTGCAGCTGAGTAATACCAAGTAGCTTAAATTTATTTTCCTAAATTTGTATTTTGAATTTCCTAGATTCTCAGAATTATTTTAGGAACAGATTGTTTTTCTTATTCTAGCCCTTAATATTTCAATGCTTTTATATTTGTTCATACGTACTTGCAAGGTCTTCTGCATAGAACTACATGTTCTTTATTTACAAAAGTGGAAGTAGCCCAAAAGCCACCCTTTCTGCATTCCTAGAAAAAGCATCCCTGGTATCTATCCTTTTCTGGAGTAGTTTCCCTGAAATAAAGATAGTTCTCCTCATTTATGTTACAGTAGAAATGGCTCTGTTGCATGAGTCCAAGAGAGGACTGAATTACAGGTAGGGAGGCTACACATGCCTGTGCCTGACCTCTGTATAATTTCATTTATGGTATGTAGTATTCAACTGGTATAAAGATGAAGCTTCTCAGCTGGATATATGGTAAGTAAAACTTACAATTTATGCCTAGAGCAGATGAAGCAGAAACTCCTTTGGAAAACAAATTTTGTTATCCTAACAGGGAGACAAGCATGTCTTAAAATAGCCAGACTGATGGCTTGGGACTAATAATAGTGTTTTCCCACCTGAATTTCAGTGAAATGGAGTTCAAATGTGTGCCTGGTCATGTTTCAAATCTCCTACTGTTAAATGGATATTTTCAAATGCTGCTCCAAATGAGAACTCAGAAATTATTATTTTTTAATAAACCAGAGTGTGAGAAGCTCACTTTGTCATAGGGAGCTGGTGGAGGGCACCAATAACTGCATTTTCTTTGAGAAACCAGTGAGCAAGTTTCTTAAAAGTGGTAACATTAGCAATTTTTTGTCAACAAAAGTCTAGATTTGCTTTATGTTTCTCACTGATGTGAGAGACTCTGTAAAAGACTGTGCTTTTACAGAGTTTTACATGACTTCAGTAAGCACAGAACATATGGGATATGCTATGTACTGAGGAGGTTTGACACTTTGGGAAGAGGATTTTCTCTCTTCCTGCTTGTAAGAATGCTCAGTCAAAGCTCTTGGGCTTCTTGATTTCCTCCATAGGCTCATTTCATAGGGGCTAATACGGAATTCAGAACTCTTTCTTGATGGATTATGAATTTACATACAAGCAACTGTTGCAGCAGAACCTAAATTCTTCAACCAAACCTACTCATGAAGGAAATAATCTTTGGTTTGATACATGGTAAATCATGTATATGTTAAAAATTAAATGCATACAAAGATGAAACTTTTACTACTCTGCAGCAGGGATTCTGGAGCTGGTGGTGAACAGGAGGAAGAAAAGCTCCTGTGGTATTGAGCAGGCTCTCTGCAGGCCCAGGGAGGCAGAATGTGTGTTTGTGTGCGTGGTGGGATGTCCACAATGTGTTCTGTCTTCCATGGAACACCGTGCAGAGTGGTTCTGAAGCGCTCTCAATGCAGCATCCCCCAGCACCAAAACAAAAATGTCTTTCTTGTCAGCACCACAGACCACATGCATGGTGTGTTGTTTGCTGCCCCTGCATAAATGGAAAGGGGAAGGAACTGGATGTGAAACACCTTGTGCATATAACAGCATTTAAGGAAGATATTTATACAATACAGAAGTACAGCACTCCTCTCTGTGTATGTGTTGCTGAATGGAAAGATCTGCCATTTTCAGAAGGAAGCTCCTTGGGGCATGTATTAGCTGTGAGGGAGAGAAATGTAACTCTAATGGATAACACAGACAGGATGTTAGAGTAAACCCAAGATGAGAGCCAGTGCTGAGGATCAAAACCTCTTGTGCCAGGGGTATCCCAGACATCTGTGCAGTTGTCAAGAGAGGCAAAGGGTTGTAGATCTGTTTCCTGGTTCCTTCTGTTAATTGAGGAGGAGTTTATGGGAGCCCCTATTAAGACAGCTCAGCAGTGTTTTCTTGGTCTTGGAGGTTATTTTTGAACAGAGATATATTAAATGTCATCACTTTTTTGTTCTCTGTGCATAAGTGATGTGGCTTTAAAAGCAGGCTTTTCTGCTTTGTTTCACAAAGTAATGGCATCCTTGTAATACAGATGTAATTGCTATACACGAGCCCATTATAGCTTAACAAGGCCTCTTTCTTGCAGAAAGAATCCATAATTTTTAGGGAAAAAAAATTCTTTTGGATTTACCCTTTGATATGGTTGCGTAGTAGTTACATTTGACAAGAGATTAATTAAACTGTGATAACTTCATAAATCCAACTGGACTAAGTTGCCCTTTGTATGTGAATGTTATCATGAGCTTGCACGAAACCTTTCTTGATTTCATAAAAATATAAGCTAACTGTAGTTACAATAAATAGCATTCTTCAACCTAGGAGGGTCCCAATGGGACCAAAAGTGCCGTATCTTATATGCAATATAAATACAGAATTCCCATTAATTTGTGACCTTTGCTTTTTATTCCATCCCTGAGAACAGTCAAACCCCACCTTCTCTGTGGCTTGGCATTAGGGTCCTGTAGAGAGCCAGACTGAGCTTTCTCAAGGCTGGACATCCTTCACACACCTCCTTCAGCCTTCTTTGTATATCATCTGTTTTAGGCCCCAACCATCTTGAAGCTGTTTTCTAGACTCACTCCAAGCTTTCAATTTCAGTCTTGTGCCTCCTCCTTTTGGGCTTGTCAGTACTGCAGTGTGGCCTGAATAAGGAGGGCAATCTCCTCCTCATCCTAGAATGTGTGCTTGCTGAGACAGCCCAGCCTGCAGCCATCCCTCTTCACCGTGAGGGCACACCACTGACCTGTCCCCCCTGAGATGTCCTGTCCTCTTTTCCATCCAGCCAGATCCTCTGCCATGCCCATGTGAGGACTATTGCATCCTACCTGCAGGACTTTGCATTTCACTTTGTTCAACTTAATGAGGTTTTCACCAGCTGCCCTCTCTTATATGCCTGGATGCCT